GAGCATATATTGTATTCCCCCCAATTCGATTATTATAAATATAAATGTTCGTTTAATTACTTTCCACTTTTCGTACCTAATCTTGCAGCTGTTCTATGTATCATTGCTCTTGGTTGTACAATCTTAGTTAGTTTCATCGTGTTTGCGAATCTCATTGATTTAAACATTACTGGCATATTTTGTTATTTTACTTTGCAAGTATGATAAGATGCATAACGATGACCCATAAAAAACTGGGTCTGTGCATGTTTCCTTTCATCTGTTTTGCGTTTCTGTTTGGGCTTCCCACTCAAGCTTCAATCTCCCACTTCGTGGTCGCAAGTCCATTTAGTACGTGTTCGTTGGGCCTTTTGGCGAATTGTCTCATTCCCTACGTATTTTTTTCCCCTTCTTTGATTTTTCTTCTTTCCTGATTTTGTTAGTTTTCCACGTATGCCCAAATATGGATTTGACCTATTGATGAGAGTTTGTTCCATCTAAGCTACTTCGGTCTTAACTCCAGTCCATACTGGGATGAGTACGTACTTATACCAGCCAAACTTTCGTCGTCAACTTTACAGCTTGCGTTGGACTCCTTTACCCGTTTTTCGAGCCAAATTGACATGCTCATACCATTTTTTATCCGGTCGCCGTCTTGTCTTTCCTATGTAGAAGTGACTACAGTCACTACACCATGGTGATGCAAGTACATATATGCAGTTATGTGAGTTTAATAATGTATCTACTCCCACACACTATGTCGTCCACAAGTCCATAAATGATCTTGCCCATCGAATACTAAACTGCCAATGACATAAAGAGTAGTTTGTATACCCTATTACTATCGGAGCAGTTTCTAATTTGTCCAGTTTTACGAGTAGTTATATTCCCAATCCCAACTCTATACGATGTATATGCGTCAATCTTTGCTCACTAGTGAGACCCCACGTTGGCTCTGACTGTTCTACCTTCCCGAGATGGCTTGATCACTTGATGATGTGGATGATGAATCATCATCATCGTCACTGGAATTTATATCGTCATCTTTGCTCTCCTCATAACTTGAGGATTCGCATTTGATGTCGTCCGCATGGAGCTGCGTTTCGAACTCACACTCATGTGTAAAGTCCCTTCCTTCGTATGTTAAGAATCCTGGTACTTCACGCAATGCAGTTATGACCTTAGGTTTGTCCTCATACTTGAGGTCGCAAATCTCGCACAGTTCCTTCAAATGTGGGTAATGGAGCCTCGGGAGTTGCGTATCGGTAATTGGTTCGTATCCGAAATTGAAGTTCCCCTTTGCCTTCGCCGCTCTGTTGATTCCGTTCTGCCGTCGGATCTTCCTCCTCCGTCTCTTCGGGTGTGCTGACTATGATCAAATTGGTACACTTCGTTAAATATGTACAGACGCCGGTGTACCAATCATCATTGATCCTTGAAAACGATTTGGGTTCACTGTGGACGATGCGAGAGATGTGCATGTTTTGGTTAGCTCGTTTATATTCTTCGATGCTCGTTTCACAGTGGCCAGCTCATATTTCACTGGCTTGATTTCATTGACATCTTTCCACACCTCAAAAACCATCTTCTCCACCTTAGCTTCCTTTGTGACTGCCTTCTCTGCTCCAACAGGTCCTGTCTGCATAGTTTCCGCTTTACTCGTCTCTCCACCTGGATTCTTTGGCAGTGCAATTTCCAGTGCCTTGTCAATCATTGTCTTCAGATTCGATGCTGTCAATGGCTTGGTTGTCCCCTCATCCACTGGCCCCGTTTTCTTCTCGACGACTTTACCATTGGTTTCCGCCTTCTCCGCTTGTGCGTGCTTCTTGCTGTCCGCCAACTTCGTTGTTATTTGCTCAATGGTTTTCTTCAACTTTTCCACTTCCCGCCTTAATGCAAAGATCTCCTCCTTCAGATCGGCTGTGAACCACGCTCTATTACCTGGCGGTGGAACATGATTTCGCCTTTCTTGCCACTGCTGCCGTCCAAATCTTCGTCGTGAGTCAGATTCTGCTCTCCTCCTCCTTACTAATGTTGATCTTAATCTACATTTGCGGTCACATGGTGACCAATGAAATGAAATGACATGAGATGAATCTCCATCACGATGACACTGGCTCCCGCAGTACCATGATAAATTCGGTCGGAAGCCTCATCCGAATAGTCGTCCTCGCTGCAACCAGTGTGTCACATACTCGTACAAACCAATCCAGATAACAAGACATAGGTATGGATATGATAAATTGTATACCAACCTCAAGTAGGTAGCTCTTCACGGGTGCTTCCCGCAAGTTCAAAGCACCGTGAGGTACACCCTTGCAATATTGGACAACAAGTGCGAGGCCTTAATTTCACAGAATACATGTCCTGTCCATGACATGCGACAGATACTGACACCGAGTTTGGTGCGCTAAATTCGGCGCCAGACACTGCTTTCACCCCCCCCCACTCTCGAAATGTGCAAAATGATAATGAACTTGTCGCTAGAATATGGGCAGATATACCCACCACGTTTGTCATTTTCACGTTTTTAGAGATTGGTGCGGCAACACGCCCTCTGTGTGTGTGTGTGTGTGTGTGTGTGTGTGTGACGTACCAACGAGAATGAATCTTCCTCAATAACAGGGAAGATTCATTCTCATTTGTACGTTCGCACACAGAGACAGAGAGAGAAAGAGAGGTGGTCAGACAGAGTGACACCGCGTTTGGTGCGCCTAAGTGTACCTTGCCCAGCTAAACAAATCCGGGCGGGGTACTGCGATGATCCACTGGTATTCCCAATAAGAACGGGGGGGGGGCAAAAACGTCAAATGAAATGAGAAGTAGCAATGTGAAACAAAAACGGCCGCGGCAGGGGGGGGAGTTGGGGGGAAGAACGAGAGAGAGAGGGTGTCGCCACACCACTCTCTAAATGTGCAAAATGAGAATGAACTTGCTGCTAGAACATGGGCAGATGCACCCACCACATTTGTCTTTTTCACGTTTCGAGAGTGGTGTGGCGACACCCTCTCTCTCTCTCGTTCTTCCCCCTAACTTTCCCCCCTGCCGCGGCCGTTTTTGTTTCACATTGTTACTTCTCATTTCATTTGACGTTTCCCCCCCCCCCGCCGTTCTTATTGGGAATACCAGTGGATCATCGCAGTACCCCACCCGGATTTGTTTAGCTGGGCAAGGTACACTGGAGGTTTAAAAGGCCACTGATGAAATTTACCAACAGCCTACCGGCCCCAAAGTATGGCGAAGGTCATTTGATGAAATTTGTCAACAGCCTGCAGGCTCCAGCGGCCTAACTCAGTTGGTAAGGCATGCAAGTGGCATTCAGGAGGTCGTGGGTTCAATCCCCATTGGCCCCATGTACCTTCCTGGGCTTGCTTGGCGCCCGCCACCTAGAGATAGACCACTGGATCCCCCGATCGGCATTGAGCAGTCTGCTGATGTTCGTAGGGGAGGGGACCACCACCTGAGGGGAGGCACAGGGATTGGTCCTGTTGGCATGGTTCCTGATGCTACCGGCTGTCCCCTAGCCAGTATCGCCCACCTGCAGGTCGGGAGTAGCCCCCGCATGTTCTCTCGTGAACACGTTTCTGGCTGCTACGGGTGGCTCCCCGTATGCCTACAATTAGTAGTGGTAGGTAGGTAGTGTGAGGTGAAATTGAGAGAAGAACATAGCTTACAAAAAAAA